GTCAGAGGCCTGTCCGGCAGTGTTCAGATTTGCTTCTGAAACTTTCAACCCAACAGGAGAAAATTAGTAATTATTATTATTGTGTGCAAGTTTACACAGTTGGAGGACAGCTTTCCGAAGCCAGTTCTCTTCTTCCACTGCAGGGATGGAACTCGAGTGTTATGACTGGCGGCAAGCACCATCACCTTCCGAGCCACCTTTCCAGACAGAGAAAGTTTAAAATTTATTTATTTATTTGTTGGTTTTTTTTGAGACAGGGTTTCTCTGTGTAACTCTAACTGCCTTGGAACTCACACTATACCAGGCTGACTTTGAACTCACAGAGATTTGCCTGCCTCTGCCTTCTGAATGCTGGGATTAAATCACTGCTTGGTTTAAGATTTTTAAAAAAAATTGTTTTAAAAAGTAAATTAATGAGGTCCAGGGTAGAGGCCCTTGTGCAGTGTGCACAGATTTCAGGCTTAATCCTGAGCGTGCCCAAAAAGAATAAAAGGAAAGAATGCCTAAGCCAGCAACATTTAAACTCGACGGGTCCACAGGTCTCACCCTCTATTATCTATAATTTTACTTGTGACAAATTTGATATCATAAAAAGCTACTGTAAAATGTATCTACACGTAGGAGCGAACCACATGGTTAATGTGGTGATGGTTTCTTTTGATCATACATGCTTGGCTCCTTTGACCACTCTGTCCTGGGTTCTTTCTGACCTCTTGGTTTTGGCTCACCAGATGTCAGCACGGCTTCAGCTAGTATTGGCGAGTCTGTGCACACGTGTCCCCTCCTGGCAGGAGAGGGACGTGCCACTGGGGGGCCTGGTCTGAGGTCTTCTCATCTTGTCTATTCTGGACTCCAGAGACTCCAACCCTTTTCCTGCTTACACTGGATCAAAAGAGCCTAACCCACCTACTGCACCACACTACCCTTCATTTGACTCACCTACAATACACAAAATAACCACAAGATGGCAGCACTATCCCATAACAATAGCTTTGCCTCTTTGGAGTTTCATTTCTGAGTCTAGCATACTTACTGACATTTGAAACTATAGAAAACTTCATCAATACACAAATCGAAACTTCAGGCAGAGGTTTGAACTCTTAGTGTGGAATTGTGGCAAAGTTTCCAGGGTCTCCAGTTTGGTTTCCTCCATCAAAGTGAAAGATTCCCACTGAGGTAATGGCACCATCCCTTAAGAACACCCGCTGGGCTTTGTTCAGACACACTGGCTCCCGTGTCATTCAAAGCCAGAAGATCCGGGTTGAGTGGAAGGGATTTGGATTTGTTGAGCCAAACCAAAGACTGGCACATTAGCATCAAATATTATAGTATTCTCTAAAAACAAAGCTGTTTGCGTTCCCACAAGAATCGAGATGATGTCACAAGGGCTGGAGGCAGATTTTTGGCTAGATCTTAGGTTTTCTGCATTCAGATTAACTACCTGAAGGATCCTTTACTAGGATTTGGGGAGCAATGAGTAGGAAGGACAGCTACTGAATTCAAACTCGGAAACTGCTAGCTCAAACCTGGACAATTTACTGTTCGCAAGGGGTCGTTGACGCACTGAGATCAGCAGCCAGGCTTGGTGAGGAGTCCTCTCTGTCAGGAAAGGATAAACACAACAGGACAAGGATTCCCAGCCTGCCCTGAACCGCCCGCCCTCTGACTGCGGACTGACTGGAGTTAGGAACAGCACAGGATGGAGGGAGAAGGCTGTTGGGCTGACTTCTGGGGAGGGATGAGTGAGTCGGGAAGCCTGAGGCACTAGAACAGGTGCAGAGGGGAAGCTACTGACTCAGACCACTTGGGGAGAAATGTCCTACAAGAGGGGAGCTGCTGAGCCAAGGGCCAGGGAACATTCTGGACGCAGAACTGCCTGCTGCTTTCCCACGGTGCGGTCACAGCCAGAATGAGTGACCTGGCTTGAAGAATTGAATGATAATGAGAACACAACAAACCCAACTATGTGGGGCACAGTGGATTTTTTGTTGTTCTTGTTCATTTATTTTTGAGACAGAGTTGGTTGTCTATCCTGATAGGTTTTTGTTTTTGAGACAACCATGGCTGTCTTGGAACTTGCTTTGTAGACCATGCTGGCCTTAAACTCACAGAGATCCACCTGCCTCTGCCTCTGAGTGCTGGCATTAAAGGCGTGCACCACCACTGCCCGGTTTACAATGGAGGTGTTTTTTTAAAGAAGCAAGTTCACATTACTAATTGCCCACATTAAAACAACAACGACAAAAAGTGGTGAGATCTTACAGGTTTCCATATCCAGGCTGAAGCAACTGTAGGAACTCCATGCAGGAGGCTAGCAGGATCCTGGAGAGCTCTGGGCAGGTGATGACTGGCTGCCTTGTTTATGCCCCGGGCCCTCGCTGCAGCCAAGCCCTTCCTGACCTTACTGAGGTTGAGCCCTTTGAATTCTTCAAACTGCTTGTCATTCCAGCCACGTGCAGCCGTCAGAGGCCAGGGAAACCATCCTGGCCTTGGCCTTGGCGGAATGAATACTCTAATGTTTGAGACTGAATACAAGGGTGACCTTTCATGTAACTCAGAGGACTTGGCTAGCCAAACAGAGACACAGCTTCACAACGGAAGTGAGCTAGCGACACCGCTAACAACTCCGTGCAGAGACTCCATTGCCACTGCATCTTGGAGGTGGGAAGCAACCGTCTGAAACAAGCGGTTTCTGGGTCTGCATCTAACAACAAACTCAGCCCGTGCCCACACGTTGTGCTCCTGCTTTGGTTCGGACATGAATGATGGTGTTGGGCTGAAGAGCAGCTCAGCAGCTAAAGCAAATGGGGGTGTTGGCCAACTGTGGGTACTGAGCCCAGGGGAGCCCCTGGGCAAATGTAAGAGCATCTGGTCAGATGCAGGAGGCAGCCAGGAGTCCTGTGGTCCAGGTGAGAGGACAAAGATGTTGATATTCAGTTCAAACAAATTTAATTCCTTGTACCCCACTGCTCTTGTTCCCTGCAGCCCTAGGTAGCCTCTGAACAGAAGTGACCTTGGCCTTAGAAACTTTTTTTTTTTAACAGGTTTTGACCTTCAACTCCCTGCGTAGCAGAGGATGACCTTGAAGGATGACCTTAAACTCATAGCTGTGTTACCCCCACCTCCTAAATGTTCAGACTTGAAGCCTATATCTCCATGCTCAGATGTAGAAAACCAACTTTGGACTCTACCTATGACACGGGACTTGGAAGTAGAGGTGGCTCACTGAAGCCGCTTCCTGGAAGCAGATGGTGGGGGGGTGTCACTTCAGGATGCCACCCTTTGTCCTAATTCTTATCCTTCCAGAGTGGGCAGTCTGTGCAGGGCCACCACTGCCAGCAGCATTCACCATGCTCAACACCACGCCGACAGGAAGTAGGTTCCGGCCTCAGTTCAGGCCCACAGGGAGATTTGTGTGATTCTTCCAGAATAGGCAGTCAGGAGCCAAGGAATCGAGCACAGGCTTTGAAGCTAGACAGACCTAGATTTGATGTCTTGGGTAGGCATACCCTGTGTGATCACAAATCCTGATCAGGATGAACCTGACTCTCCCGACTGTTAAACAGAGTAAGAAGTACCCAGATATCAGGGAGCTTCTGAGTGCTAAAGGGAAGCTGATAGCAGGCAGAGAATGCACCGGGAGAGGGCAGCTACCCATTGCTGGGGCAGGGAGGAGACCTGCAGAGACACTGGGGTGCAGGGCTGGGGTGCAGGGTTGGGGAGTCACTTGATGTAGCGAGTTTGCCCAGCAGGTGTAGATGCCCCACTACCACAAACAGAGCCAAAGTGAAATACACCTGTGTGACCTCACCCATCTCAGCTGTGAGAAAATAGAGAGCCCATGATGTCTGAGGACAGCTGTTCTCTGTAGAAGTCAGGTGTGTGTGGTTGTGTGTGTGTCCCCAAGGGAGGGGTGGAAGCTCTGACGCTCCTGTCTTGAGGTTTGTGCTGTTTGAGGAAACAGTGAGCATGCACAGAGCCCCGACTGCACAGGGCTGTGGCACGGAGATTCTGCAGCTTCAGATCTGCGGGACTGGCTCTGATATTGCGGATTTGCAGTGAGGGGAAGATGGCGGGAGTGTTCCGGTCTGGACACGCAGCTCAGTGTAGAGCGTGTGCCACACGCGGCTGTGCCCAAGGACCAGGTTTGAACCTTAGCATCAGGGAAAAGAGTGGTGTCAGTGTTCTGCCTGTTGTTGGGTGGAGTCCTGACTCTTCAGTCCTGGTAGAAGAGTCAATGAAGTTTGTAGGTAAAGGCTTTGCCATATAAGAAAGGTTGAAGTTACCACTTAGCTATGCACCTGATGTGATCACTATGATGATTTTACATTAAGCGAATTTGGAAGAGAATTAAGTGAAAGGGAATTTTCCAGTAGGCAAAGATGGATATAAGGGGAAGGAGGTAGCAACTTACACAAAACACAGTTTCCCAGGGGTTCTGATGAAGTGGCAGTGGGGTAGAGTCAGGACGGAGCCTGAGGCACTTCCTAACAGCTCTAGCCAAGGACAGTTGCCAGGACAGTTGCCAGTTGTCATGGTTTGTTTCATCAGGAATCAAATGATCTGAATAATTTTGTCAAATAGAGAGCGAGGTGAAGTCAGCACAGATGTCTGAATGCTTAGTCAGCAAGGACTGGCACTGTTGGAGAAGGAGTCGGAGGTGTGGCCTTGCTGGAGAAAGTGTGTCACTGAGGGTGGGCTTTGAGATTTCAAAAACCCATGCCAGGCCCAGTCAATCTCTCTCTCTCTCTCTCTCTCTCTCTCTCTCTCTCTCTCTCTCTCTCTCTGTTTTTCTCCCTCTCTCCCTGTCCCCTCTTGCCTCCCTCCTTCCTCCAGATGAGGAGCTACTGTTCCAGTGCCTGCCACTGCGATGATACTGCGCTAAGCCCCTAAAACAATAAACAGGTCCTTAACTAACTGTTTTCCTTTCTAAGAGTTGCCTGGGTCACGGTGTCTCTTCACAGCAAGGGAGCAGTGACTGAAAGAAGAACACAAAGGCGTGAACTATTTACCCAGTTTATTGTATTTTTACAATAAAAATAAATTAGTTGTACACAAAATAGTGCTGAAAACAGCCCATATTTGCTCATATAATTCACCTTCTGCTCATCTCCTCCTTCCATAATAATTTAACACTGTAAAGGAGACACGGGCTGGTGTTGTCCCCAGTTCCCCAGTGGGCTTCTCGCTCCTGACTCTGCAGTCCACAGGTCAGCCTGGAGGCCCTGGCCCCAGGAGCCACCAACAAGGACCCTGGAGTTGTCATCAGAGCTGAGAGGTTGCCACCAGTCCCCAAGCCTCTCACAGCCCCTTCAGCCCAGGTCGTCCACAGCTCTGACCTGAGGCATGAGGCTGGCGAAGCTACAACGGGCCACACTGAGAAGGGAAGAGAAACACAAGCCACCTGCCCTTCTCTGAGTGTTTGGGTGTGAGGAAAGAGCAGATTATATGAAAAAAAAAATAGAATATTTAAGACAGAAAGGTGGCAGTCTTAGGCACAATACTGGCGGGGGAACCCCTGAATATGTCAAAAGCAGGGTCAGTCATATTTGATCTTAAACTTCCAAAAGTTTGGCCAATCACTGTACTAAACGACTATCAGGATTGACTTAGAATAAGACACCACGGTGCAGCCATATACCAGGAGGCTGGGTTAGTATGATCCAATGAATGTATGAAAATATGGATGGTATATGTAAATAAATACCTATTGGGTCCCTTTAACAATGAACATATTCTAAATAAACAGAACTATTTTGGTGTCACGAGCCACTCTGCAGATAAAGTTCAGAATACACTTTTCCTATAAACATCTTGTATTTACAAAGAACATAATAATAAGTTATAGCAAAGTATATCCTTCTGTCGGGTGGATGTTGGGGGGCTGGGGGGCAGAAAGGGGCGAGTCAGTGGATGTAACAGAATGGATTTGTCTCTCACTCAGGCCAGGGACTCATCCTCTCAGGAGGTGGGGAGCTTCCACATTCTTGGGGCTACTTTCCACAATGTGATGGGCATCCCACCGGAAGGAGGATTCAGACATAAAGGATGGTTTGGGATGGAGGCTTACTCTTTGTCAGCAAGTCCAGGTGCTCTTACAAAAGAGACTGGCGGTGAGTGGCCCAGACTAGTCAAAGCGGCCTCCATGAAGGCATATGACCCCAGCTAGCTGCCCCCCATGTTCCTGTGCCCCTTTGGGACGCAAACGTCGAGATGGCTCTGACTAGGTTGCCAGTGGCTGCCATATGAGGTCACATGCTGTTCACAGGAGAGGCACAAATGGGTTTCAGACGGTGACAAGGTGGCAGCAGCCGTCACTTGCTGTCTCTAAGCAGATGCACCACCCAGAGCTGTGCCACTCGGAGCCGCCAAACCCTGGACGTGGAGATGACCTGGAGCAGCGAGTTGACCCCTTCCCACATCCTGACACACCTGTCCTGTCTCAGCTGCCACCCCTAAGGGCGACTGTCCCCAGCAGCCCTGCATCCATAGATCTACATCAGCTTGCAGAAGTTTGCTATTCTGTTTCACTGAGGGTTCGCATGGTGTCTCTTCTGTGACGTCGCTCCTCAGAAGTCCAACACTCTGTCTCTAACAGTCCTCTTTATCAGAATTGGAAAACCACATCTGAGCGTTACATATAAGCGGTAGTCTTCCTACAGACACGTGTACCAGGACTCTCATCTATGTTTCCTCTGTGGCCTTGGTGGCTTGTGGCATGGCATATATAGATACACATATGTGTATGCATGTGGAGGTCAGAGGACATCAACTGTTGGGCTTCAGGTGTCATCCACAATGTTGAAACACGGTCTCTCACTGGCCTGGAACTTGCCTCTGCCTCTCCCATGCTGGGATTACAAGTGAGTACATCACAGCTGGCTTTTTGCATGTGGATTGAGATTTGGGCTCAGTCTTGGTCTCAGCACTTTGTCAATTGAGCTAACTTGCTAGTCCCGGGGTCAGCTATGTTTTGCCATTTCCTCCCCACTTTCCTGACACACTTTGATCTTAGCTGAAATTCTTCCCTCTCCATCATTTTTTAACAGTACAGTTGTTCTTTTAATCCAAAGGTTAGACTACAGCCGTTTCCCAGGGAACTGGTGAGGTCCGGGCTTTCTCTTCACTTCTTATTTATTTATTTTTTTTAAATTTTCTTTATAAATCTTTCAGACTCTTCTTGCTCTGGCTCTTGGCTCTCCAAGGCCAGGGCATTGGCCAGTTTTCTTCTAAGACATCCAGGCTACACACACAATGTTTTATCTGTCAAGGATCAGACACTGGCCTGTGGGGCTGACACCTGTAATAATGTAATCACCCTGTTGTAATGTAGTCGTTCATTTTGTTCCTCACATGGGAAAAACTAATATGTCAACTCTAAGACAGCTATTAATAAGATGAGGAGATTATCTTGGGCAGGTGTGAGCAATAGCTAGATCTCCATTCCACACAAGTTGAGCTAGCATCTTCCATTTTCCAGCCCTCGAGAAATCTACCTTTACAGAGAGAGTGTTGGGTGTAAACGCTTAGAGACCAAACGGATGGACTGTACCAAAAGCAAGGAGAGAAGACAAAACACAGAAATCCTGGACTGAGAAGTGAAGCAAAGGAGCAGCTGGGGCAGTTATGAGAACTCCCTCCCTGAGCCACTGAGAGATGAGCAGAGCTCTGGCTTCTTAATAGGGCGAGCATGGTTTACGAGAAGAGAACTGCTCCCTCTAGTGGTCGGGTGGCATATTTCCTGCAGGCCCTGGAAGGTGAACCGAGATAGATTTCCACAGGGGCTGCAAGGAAGGTGCTTTTTCCAGTGAGTGGAAGAGAATCAGCACAGGCTTTTAATTTGGGGCTTTGCTGACTTTTGTTGAGAAAGACTACACAGTAGCTTTACTTTATCTAATTTTTCACTCAGAGCTAGGGATGTAGCCTCTGACACACGGGGTGGGGGGATGGGAAATCAGCGTTGTAATATGTTTCAATTCCACATCACAGTCAATGAAGGAGATGTGGAGTGGCCCGAGAAGGCAGATGAAGGATCATCTGCCGGGACTGGTGTCCCCTCCCTGGTGATCACTGGGGATTCCCCAGAGCCCCCCCCGCTGTACACACTGCGGAAGGGAGAAAGCCATGCAGACAATGGAAGAAACCATTATTTGAGAGATTGGCCTTCTACAACAAAGAGGTTAATCGGCCCCATTCTAGAAATCTATAACCTTTTAAAGGGAACAGACCTCTCGAGGACAGCTCATTTTTCTGGGAAATTCCTCTGAACTCAGGAGAGGTGTTTCTTTTCTTTGCCTGAAGTCCAGGGCCTGGCCCTTTGCTCTGACCATTCCCACTCTACCGGAGGATCACTGTCCTTCCGATAAGAACTCTGAGGTGATGCCTGAGACACAGGATAGACAAAGCCATCGTCAACCCAGCCCAGCCCTGAGAATTTGAGAGCTGGAAGGACCACAGAGAAGGTCTTTCGTCCCTGTTAGCCTGATGCTGGGTGGCTTCAGTTGCTAGGACATTTTCCTTCCCAGGACAGGCAAAAGCATGCAGTGAGAGGAGCAGGGAGGAAACTGGACAGAAACTGTGTGCAATGGCTTCTCCTCATGCTTAGCATGGTTGGCACAGTCTCTGCTGGGCTGTGTGTCTACACGCCATAGGAACACGAGGAGAGGCGGAGCTGCTGATAGACGCGGTGCCCGGTTTCCCAAGCAGAGAGAGAGAGAGAGAGAGAGAGAGAGAGAGAGAGAGAGAGAGAGAGATGCTGGAGATGCTCACAGAAGGCCAAAGTCAGTGTGATCCTGATCCTGACAGAGTGTGTCAGACCAGACAGGCAACATAGCCGCACAGCTGGGAATGATTGCCACGCTGGCTGGGGCAGGTAATGAGCTCATGAAGGGACCCTGTGCTACGGTATGTGCCTGCTTTAAGACAAACATGCCCAGGACCCGAAATAAGAAAATTTCTGTAAGTTTACACTTTTTAAGAAAAGAATATTCCTCTTAATTGTCTTCCCCAGCCTCCAGTCAGTTCACTGAAGGTGAACTGACGGTTCACCTTCAGTATGCACTGAGTCCCCTCAGGCCTGGGGCCTCTGGAATTACAGTCGGCTAAAGTGTGTCAGCGAAGATGGGGAGGACCTCGGAGCTCCTTCTCCAAGACCCGCATTGTTAAAACTGATCTTGATGGTCAAGTCTTGTGGGAAGTAAGAGTCATGAGTCACAGGGGAACGGGAGGGGGAGGGGAGAAGGAGAGTAGGGAGGGATGTGAGACTACCAACAAGAACCCTTTAATCAACCCACGAGGCCCAAATAAGACTCCTCCTATTGCAACGTGGAGATTTCCTGGGACTACTGGCTTGGCTTTCCAGCAGGGGGTACGCCACAGAGAACCCAGGAGAGATGGCAGAACTAAAGCTTGTGGGATTTGGGGATTTGTTCCAGCTCCAGAGTGCCCCAGAAAATCCCTGCCACCTCCTTGCTTTCCCTGTGGCTTTCTTGTCTTGTGGGAAAGTTCTGTTGAGGACCGAACTTAGCAAACACCACAGAGTCCTGTCAGCAGGAGCTGCGACTCAGAGACGGGGAACAGGGGTGCAGACATCTTGAAAAGGACTAAATACTCAGTTGAGGCAGCACTTGGGGACAGAGGAAGGGCTTCAGAAGCTTGGGCTCCATACATAAAATCCAACTCGACCCTCTGGTCAGATAGGAAGCCCGGGTCATTCTTCAGACTATAGGCCGGTGGACAGGCCCCAGGCTGGTCACTGGAGGTGCTGTGGGGTGAGATTCTGCTCAGTCATCTGAGGTAGGCACTCAGCCCTGGCACAAAATGGCCAGCTCAGTTATCTGGGTTGAGCCTCGGTTCCTTGCTAGTTAAGCAGAAGCACCTATTCAACCCTGCTTCCTGTTCTGGGACACCATGGCCTCCAGCGAGCTAATGTCTGAGAATGTATGTGCCTGCTAAACAAGAAAGCACTCTGTGGTGGGATACCTCTGTCCTGAGGCAGGACACAGTCTATTGTCCTTAAGAATGGTGACAGGCACGGCTGGGCTGAGGCAACAGGGATGCACAGGTCTCAGTGAGGTTTGTTGGTGACGTAGGATGGGGTGCTCTCCTCTCTTGACTTTCCAAAGGGGTGCTAATTCTGGGCAGGCCAGTAGCACCAGGAAGGAGGCTGTGTTTCGTCAGTGGTTCGGTTGCTGACTTGGACAACAGCAAGCCTGAAGTTGGGCTGAGAGCTGCATGCATATGACTGCTTGGTTTTCAGTAGGCCCCATTAGCAGGTGCCAGTTCCCAAGGAAGGGCGTCATCAGGACAGAGCGATGCTCAAAGGGCCAGCCGTGGCGTTCTAGCATCTTGGGTACCGGGTGGTACGCTTTACGAAGGTGAGAGTGGGGGTCCCTGGCAGAGCACCGGCCAGTCAGGTGCACTGTTGGCAGCCGCAGGGGAGCAGGAGTGTTATCGACTTCCCAGGAAGCCTGTGTGTCTGTTGGCCACGCGGGTGCAGGAGGCACAGCAGGCGGTCTTGTAGTAGTTGTAGACACAGAGGCGCGCCTGGACCACCACATTGCAGTTGTAGTACTTGTCCTTGCAGTTTTCATCTATGGGGCAAGGGAACAGAAGAGACTCCTGAGCCCAAGAGGCAGCCAGGACCCGTGGGAAGAGAAGAGAAAGAGTGGGGGACACAGAGCTTCCTCTGGGTCCCATGCGTCTGTGGGAGCCTGAGGGAGCACATGCAGGGACCAGAGTAGGATGTCAGGGATGTCCAGGAGGGGACTTGTTAGGGCTCAGTAGAAATGGGAAGGGGGTGACGGGGGTATTGAGGGGGTGAAAATGACCCCCACATAATGCACATGTATATGAGCTTGTCAAAAAATCATAAAGAAAAAAAGATATTTGAAAAATAAGTTGAAGAGCAATTGAAGAAGCTATCTGATGATTTTTGTTTCCCTTCAGAGAGAGAGAGAGAGAGAGAGAGAGAGAGAGAGAAATGAAATATGTGTTCAAGAATATCCAAGGACAGTGGGCATGTCTGTAATCCTGGCACTTGGGAGGCTGAAGCAGGAGGACCAGGAGTTCGAGGCCAGCTAGGGCAGCGTAGTGAGAAGCTGTCTCAAACAAATAATAATAGAGTAGCAATCATGGTGAAGAGGTGGCACCGGGATGGTGAACGCTGGTTTTGAGGGATTTCCCCCACAAATTGTAAGGAGAAAGTAGAACATGATCGTGGAGGGTACCTGGAATTGGCCCATTTTTATGTCTTGTTAAAATAAGTTGAACTGGTGCTACTTGCATGGGCATCGGTGTGGGATTGTTTACCAGAGCACAGGCAACTTACAGAGGCTACAGCACCTAAGAGAGTGACTCCTTCCCCAGTCACCAAGAACACCCATGTGCAGTTCCTTGGCTATTCATGGGTATGGTCTTACCAGTTCTTCCCCCTTCACCTAGTGTTCTGGTCATTGAGCCAGGACCTCACCGACTGGCTAGACAGGCTGGCCAGCAGGCCCCAGGGAGCCTCCCATCTCTACCTCCCCAGAGCTGGGGTGACAGGCACATGCCACTGCACCCAGCGTTCATGTGGGTGCTGGGGATCTGAACTAAGGTCCTCACGCTTGCGCAGCAGGCATTTCCCCCACAGAGCCACATCCCTAGCCTCCGAACATTTCCTCATACCTGAGCTGTGTGCGATGGTGTCCTTAACTGCTGTGTGGCCTCTAAACTTAAGAAACTGTAGACTTTACACATCGTTCCTGGCCACTGGTTTGACAGTGAATTTGTGCATTCATTTTTTTTATTGGGGAGGATATATCCACGTAAATACATAACTTATCCATTTTCCATTGGTAGACATTGTTTCCATTTTTTCCCAGTTTATAAATAATGATCATTTTAAGCATTTTTGAAAGTCTTCTTTCCGGGTTTTAAGATACATACAGTCTTACTAGACGTGATGGCTGCCTTCCAAACTATGTGAAGCTATTTGTATTTCTCTTGGCAGAACAGCAGAATTCCATTTTTTTTTGATAGGGGGATGGGAAGAAGATGGGGTCTCATGCAGCCTCAGCTGGCCCTAGTCCTGGAGGGTGATAGTGACCTCCTGATCCTCCTTCCTCCAGCTCCAATGTCTGGGGAGTGATCTCAGGTGTGTGCCACCATAGCTGGTTCATGCTGTGCTGGAGATCAATCCCAGGATGCTGTGCATGCTTGGCAAGCCCCCTATTAGCAGAAGTTCACCCCCGGATCAGCAGAACCGCCCCCGTCCTGTGCTGTATTTTCTTCTGTCTAGGGGGTGCAAAGCAATCCTGCGGCGAGGTGGAGCACACTGTAGCGGCCTTGCCGCTCAGGTTCCCTTTGCTGGGGGCAGCTCTCTTTTTGCTGTTGGACTCAGAAAGGTCTCTCTAAGCAGTGGATCCAAATCTTTACTGGTTCCTGTGTTGCAAGTATCTTCTCTGGCTCACAGCTCTTCCTGGCGCTTTCTTTATGAGGTCACGTGATAAGAAGACACTTGACATTTTAACATTATTGGAATTCTAGTATTTCCCTTGTGGGTTGTGCTCTGGGGTTTTTGCTTAAGAAATTTTTCCCTACTCCAAAAGAAATTTGTTTTTCTTCAAAGTTTTTTTTTAAAGTTTAAATTTTTTGATTACATTTCTTTCCCTAATGCACTAGGAACCGGTGATGGTGATGGTAACGTGTGTGTGTGTGTGTGTGTGTGTGTGTGTGTGTGTGTGTTGAGAGGCAGGGATTCAGTTTGACTGTTTCTCCGTATACATGAGAATACATGAACTGTTTCATTATCATTTGTTAAACAGAGCATCCTTTCCTCAGACTCATATGCTGACCCTATCACACAGCAAGCATCTTCAGTTCATTTGGGGGCTTTCTATTTTATACTTTTAGCTTATTCCTCTGTTCCTGTGCCAACATGCCTTGATTTGTGGCAGGGTAAGTCTCCCAACACCATTCATCCTCAAAATCGCCCTGGCTATTCTTTGCTCTTATTCAATATAAACAATTTGATATATCCTTATAAATAATTTGATATGTCCAACTCATATTCGATATATCCAATTAAAAAAATTCCTGTATGGATTTTGATTACCATCACTTGAGTGCTGGGGAGCTGGTGGTTACCGTGCAAGCCTGAGGACCTGGGTTTAATACCCAGGTCTCACATGGAAGAACTGGGTATGTAGTGCATGCCTGCAATCCTGGTGTCGGGAGGCTGTGACATGTGGATCTCCTAAGTCTGCTGGATGGCCAGCCTAGCCTACACAGCCAGGCACAGGCCAGAGAGGCTCTGTCTTAAAGTAAATACAGAAAAAAAGGAAGGCGAGATGTGGGAAAACACTTGAAGCTCATCTTAGGAAAGTGAGTTATCATCAGTAGAGAGGACTGCAGGCAGGAGGGCTCAGAATAAATCTGGATAGATCCATGGCTGGGTCATGTACCCAAGCTATTTATCTGTTTGCCTTGGCAACGCCACACAGTTGAAGTGATTTAAATTCGGATCATCAATGTTCTTTGCAAAGAACTGTGTTTTACAAAATACAACATCAAAAAGGAAAGTTGTCTCAGGCACACAGTCATGGGTAATTAAAAATGGTGAAAACGGCCATATCCTTGGAATGGACTGTGTAGGTTTCAAAGCAAGGTGTGGCTGCCATAACCAGCTCGTGTATGTACCCATCTCCCAGCCAGGACATGCATGTAGCCCATCTCCCAGCCAGGACATCAAAGATCTCTCACTAATAAGATGTGAGAGGGGTTTTGTTTTTGAAACATGGTTTTATGTGTGCCTTGAACTTGGGAGTGGGAGAGGATGACCTTGATCTTCTGATTCTCCTGCCTCTACCCTGGAGAGCTGGAACCACAGGCACTTGCCACCACACCTGGTTTCTGTGGTGCTGGGATCAAGCCCAGGGCTTTATGAATGGCAGGCAAGCTTTCTGACACTGAGTCCCAGCTGTGATTTTTCTTCAAAAACCACTCTGGTTTGGTCTTCTAGATTTAGCTATGGTATTTTTCCAAGGGGGCAGGTATATATCGCTTCCAATATAATACCCAATAATGGGGGAGAAAAGGAAATTACAAGATTAACAAAATGGAGTATATAAACAAAACTTTGATGACCTCTGATGTGTCTCAAAATGACTCTGCCAAAGATAAAGCTGCTAAAATGTCAAGACCAAGAGCCCACATTATGAAACTCCGAGGAAATCCCAGTGGGTTGTAGTGTGAAATTATAATATCCTAAGCACCCCAGGACCTCCACCATGGCCGTGTGCAAGGTCACAGAGAGAACTGGCTAAGTCATTTTTACACGGAAAACTTGATAGAGCTAGAGGGGGCCCCTTTCTCTTTCCTCCCAGATGGGAACCCCAAACTCACCAACTTCAGGGACGCAGTCCTGAGGGTTACAGGATTCTCTCTCTTCTGGTTTCAACTGGGGGTCGCAGAGGCTACCGGGGGTCATGTCATCTGACAGACACCTCACTTCTCGGACCCGGAATCCGCCCTGGCAGCTCTTGGAGCACTGATGTGGCAAAAAGAGGGACAATATCAGATTTCCCAGAAGGCTGTTGGATCGTCACTCCAGAATGGAAGATCTTAGGGAAATGCAGACATCTCCAAAAAGGGAAATTGAGCACTAAAATACACCCCTGCAAGCTTGCTGACCAGCTCCACACCCAGCAGGTTGGACTCTGTCCTGTCTCCCTCCCTTCCATTCCCACTCCTTGAATTCTGGATTCCTGTCACAACGTCCATAATATTCTAACTTATGGCTCCAAAAATGAAGGAGCCTGGAACACGTCCCATTGCTGCACCTTATTACTTCCAAACCTATATATTTAGTGATTCTAGTCCCATTTTTAAAAATTTTGATGAATCTTGACTATTTTGAAAATAGTTTTTTGGCCGGGCGGTGGTGGCGTACACCTTTATTCCAGCACTCGGGAGGCAGCGGCAGGCAGAGCTCTGTGCACTCTAGGCCAGCCTGGTCTACAGAGTGAGTTCCAGGACAGGCTCCAAAGCTACAGAGAAACCCTGTTTCAGAAAAAAAATGTTTTTCTTAAAGAATCAGGGTCACATTGGAAGGAAGTAGAGATGGATAGATATGAATGCAGTGTGTAAGTGTATCATTTTCAAATGATAAATAAAAAACATTATTAAAAAAAAACTAAACAAAACGGGAGGATAGAGAGATGGTCCAGAGGCTAAGAGCACTGGCTGCTCTTCCAGAGGACCTGGGTTTAATTCCCAGCACCCACATGGTGACTTACAAACACTGGTAACTCCGGTTTCAGGAGATCTGATGCCCTCTGCTGTGGGTGCTACATACAGGTGGTGCACAGACATACATGTAGGCAAAACACTCATATACATGAGATAAAAATGAACAAAAATTTAAAAATAACAATAATAAAAATCTCAGGATCCATATCTCAGTCATATTTGGAAGCTAACTGATAATTTTATGATTCTAGACCTAAACCCACAGGTCACCCTTCCATTGTCTTATGCTTGCTTATTTTTAACTTTTAAAAATTACAGCAAATTTTCTTCAAGACAGGGTCTCACTGTGTAGCCTTGGGTCGCCTGGAACTCACAGAGATCCGCCTACCTCTGCCTCCCAAGTGCTGGGATAAAAGGCGTGCGCCACCACTGTGCCTAGCTCTCCACTTTACTTTGAGACAGGATCTCTCACTGAGTCTGAAGCTCACTGTTCAGCTAGCCTGGCTGGCTGTGAGTCCTAGGGATCCTCCTGCCTCCACCTCCCCAGAGCTGGGTTGCAGGCCTTGCTGCTGAGCTAGCTTACAGTGTAGTACATTTAACATTCTCTTAGAGTCCCTTCAACCACCGTTCTCTGCAGCCATGTTTGTCAAACTACAGCCCAAACTGCATCCTGCTTGTTAAACATACACATTTCTTAGCCAGGAGGGGCCCAGAACTGGTCTTTTCTAGCAAGACCGCCAGATACACCCCAAAGCTCAAGAATCACATGCATTATGAACACATCTCTGTAGAAACCCCTATCTGCAAGCTTCAGGGATCCCCAACCGAACAGGGTCCCCTCATTGTGACTTCCTAGAGTAGAAGCCACAGGGGATCCAGCATCTTTTCTCCGGTTGGGCCCATGACAGTGACTTACCATGCTCCATTCTGTGCTAAACCATTTAGCTCCACAAGGTTTGAGGTGGCATGCCTGCTGGCTCGGAGGCTTCTCCAGGAATGAACACTCATAAGGGTCTAGCACTTCAAAGATGTCTGCATTCTTCCTAACACAGATCACCTCCCTCTGCTGTGTCCCACTGCCACACTCAACAGAACACTGGAGAAGAAGCAGAGACAGATGAATGTCATATCATGCAAAGGGGAAGAAAGCCGCGCTCCTGGGTCAATTCTTCCACCGAGGTACATGAAAAAGAGCAAGACAGAGGACACAAGAAGAGAAACTGGTGCAGCCCTGGTAAAGTCCACTGCTGATGAGGAATATAGTGGCCAGAGACAGTTCAATGGGTAAAATGTTTGCTGCCCAAGTGAGAAGACACGAGTTCAGATCCTCAGCACCCACAGAAAGGGAAAGGCCGGGTGTGACTTTTAGTGCTTTAGTGCATGCTGGGGGGCAGAGACACGGAGAATCCTGGAGTCTTGCTGGCTAGTCAGGTTAGACAACTAGTGAGCTGTAGGAAGAGAGAGAGAGAACTTGTCTAAAAAAATAAAATGGGAAAGAGATGAGGAGGAGACGCTGACATTGGTCTGTGTCAGTGCCGGGACAGCGTCTTGATGCAACTAATACCTGACCCGCACTGCAGCCCTGTCTCTGGGACCACAGCAGCAGCAAGAGTCAGAGAAGATGCCAGGGCCCAGGCCCCAGGCCCCAGGCCCCAGGCCCCAGGCCCCAGTGGGTTCTCAAGGACATGGAGTGACAACCCAGGGATGGATCCATTTTTGCCTGTGGGTGACAGTGACCTGGGGGGCAGTGATGGTGGTGTCTGCAGGGGTGATAGTGGTGACACTCATGGCACCCTCTGGAGCACCCACTGTCTTCCACTGCACTACTGCGTGTCTTCCCAGGGGGGCAGTGCTGTAGCCGCCAATCAGCTGGAATCTGGACTTAGAAACAACCTTGGGTCGCACAAGGTGGCAGACCCGCTCCAATCCATGTCTGCTGGGTGAATGTGGGCCATAAGCATGGCTTCTTGGTGCATGGTTAGGGACAAAGCCATAGCACATCTGCCAGGTAAAAGCAATAAACACAGAGAGAAGAGATCTAATTTTGACCAAGTGCTTCCCCACTGCCAGCCATGGGCGACGCCTTGTGTGACCTGACCCCTAAGCTCTCTGTGACATCGAACCTTGACTGCCACTTGGCACAACTCCATCAAACTGGCCCGTGGGCATTTTCTTGAGTGTAGCTGATGTAGCAGGGTCCAGCCCACTGTGGGTGGCGCTATCTCTAGGCAGGTGGCCCCGGACTAAGAAGGTAGCCGACTGCTCCTGAGGGAGCCAATAAGCAGCCGACCTCTGAGGTTTCCACTTCAGTTACTGCTTGAGCCCATGCCCCACTTCCTTCAATGGTGGCCCGTGACCCAGAAGCATGGATGAAAGGAGCCCTCTCCTCCCCAGGTTGGCTTTGGTCAGAGTGTTTATTGCAGCTACAGGAAAAGTAGGCCACCTCCTGACAGCCCAAGGAGAGTGCCATTGTCCTCTGTGTCTTAAGACAAGGAAACAGATTCAGGGAGGTAAAAGCCTCACCAAGTCAGGAATCCCACGAGATTGGAGCTGAGTTCAGTTACACAGGGATCCAACAGGGATGCTCACAAAACTAGCACTGGAAATACTTCCACCCATTCTAAAGATTCAATCACATTCTACTTTGAGGCAGGATATCTTGTTGTTACAGGCAGCCAGCCTGTGTAGTCCAGGCTGGCTGCCTGTAAGGCTCTGGGGATTCCTCTGTCTCCATCTCCTATCTCAACAGAGAAGTACTGGGATTACAGGTGAGTGCTACCGTGTCGGGCTTTCTCATGGATTCTGGGGAGTCTGAGCACAGGTCCTCATGCTGGTGCAACAGGCGCTTTCCCTGCCCAGATATCTCTCAGGCCCTGTTTCCAGATTTTTAAAGGGAAGCTTCTGACATTGTCAAGTACTGACAAACCAGCTACAGTCATGGTAGTGATGCAGCAGGGATGGCCACCTGTGGCAGCGACGGCCACCGGCTGCATCTACTGTATGCCTGGCACTGGACTACTCACAGATGTAGCTCAAGTGCTTAAGTGAGCACACAGTAGGTGCACACTGAATCTTGTTAGCTGAACAAGGTGCTTAGGTGAGCACATAGTGGGTGTACCTGTGGGCTGGACGAGGTGCTTAGGTGAGCATGTAGTAGGTGCACCTGTTGGCTGAACAAGGCACCAAGAACACGTAGCTTTTCCGGGTCATGGCAGTAGCGAGTAGCACAGTCAGATTTAAAGCTGGTTTCTAATCCCTCTGCTACGTTGTCCTTTGCCAGGGACAGACAGATGGACCCAAATCTGGCAGCTCCCCTGACTCCGGGGGACACAAAGACGTACCTGACTCCAGCTGCCGGAGAACCACTCCACCTTGCCTGTGCAGGGCCCGTTGTCACATGGTGTAGTCTCTTCCGGCCTGTTGTTCCCGCAGCCTTCCAGAGGCAGGCTGCTGACGTGGTTGGTCATGCACACCACTGTGCGAGTCCTCACGCCAGCCCCGCACTCGGCTGAGCACTGTGAGACAGAAGCAGGGCGTATGAGTGGGGCCCCTGCAGGTTCTGGGGATACTTCCAAATGATGCCTGTCCCCCAAACTCTATAGAGAGCTGTCAACCTCTCTCACACACGACATACTTTCACAACAGGATATCTCTGCCTTATCTATTACTCTTGCCTTCTATAGTTTTAGTTACTCATGATCAAATGCAGTTTGTTTAGATTATATGGGAAAATTCCAGAAACAATTAATCAATTTTAAGTGGTTGCAACCAAACCACTCTTCTGGACTTATGTTCCAGTATTTTACCCGATGCCCTATTCTGGACAGAGTCAGCGTGGTGGCAGTTCACTGGTCACATGAGAGCCCTTACACATGGCTCCTTCTTCCTGGATGCCCTTCCCTTCACCAGCAAACACCAGAATCCTTGAGGGCTGGACACAGATGCCCTTTCATCTGTCAATCATCCTTGCTTGCTCCTTTAACATATTTGCTGCAGCCTCCTAAGTCACGTGGTATTCCTTATCCCATTCCTTCCTTTGTTTCTAAAATTGTTTAACAATTCTGTGTGTTTACACAACGCGTAAGTATGTATACATGGTGTATGTGTGTCTGTCTGTGTGTGTAGACTGGGACTGGAAGTTCATGGTGGGTGTCTTCCTCAATTGCTTTTCACTTTATTTTTTGAGTCAGGGTGGCTCACTGAACCCGAAGTGCACCAGTTTAGCTACACTGGTTGACCAGTGAACTACAGGGATCCATTCCTCTAATGCCAGGCTTTCTGGAGAGAAGAGAGAATTCCTGCCAGCAGAGGTGGGGAGTTGACTGTGAGCTGATTGATTAAACAGCCTTTCTCTCTTGTCACTTCTCACGCCTTTGTCACTCTCCTGTCCTCACCACCCCTCTACGGCCAACCCCCTTTCTCTCATCTAGTAACTTCTTCGTATGTTTCCTCCTTGTTAGAGCGGACACAAACCCTCCAGACAGCTCCTTTTTTGCAGGCTTACTTCTTTCCTATGAAATTCCCTTTGCCACAAAATATATTAACATCGAATTAAAACCTGTCTCTCTAGTTCAGCAGTTCTCAACCTGTGGGTTGAGATTCCTTTGGGCTGAATGACCCTTTCACAGAGGTTGCCTAAGATCAATGGAAAATATAGAACACACAACATCCATATACATACACACAAACACAGATTAATAATAACAACAATAAAACAAACCTTCAAAAGTAACCCAAATGTTATTTATCTCTGTCTCAACTTCTACAAACATTTCTCCCTACACAAAACATACACATTTCCACCTGACAAGCAGACTTAATTTGCCTTTCATATTTACATGCCCCTGGGGCAGGTGGGCTATCCAAATCCCCCAGGTGCTTAGTCGATCAAAGATGGAGCCAGGGCCCAGTGAGAGGACCAGGACGAAGGGACCTGAAGAAGGAACTTCTCTTTATTACGTCAGCGGCTGGAAAGGCATGGTAGATGTAGACCTGAAAGGGGTTTCCCAGGCCTAGGAAGTCTGCCAACAGTTATGAGGGAAGATGGGGTACCCTCACACAGCAGGGACTAAGCTTCACAGATCTGTTCTCAGTCCCCTAGAGGTGTTCCTGAAACACGGGCCAGACCCCTAATCACACTTGGGGGCTGAGGAAACAGACACACAAGGACCTAAGCAGTGACCCGGTGAGGGCCGCCTTCTCATGACAGCAATAGTTCCGCGTGTGGCTCTCATAACTATTCAACACTTCCATCCGCTGCTCTCCACCCGGTTTTTATTATTCATTTATTTTACTTTGCGAGACAGGGTCTTATTACGTAATCCTGGCCATCCTGAAACTTACCACAGAGAACAGGTTATCCTTGAACACACAGAGATCCGCCTGCCTCTCCCTCCTGCATGCTGGGATTAAAGGTTTGCACCATTATGTCCGGCTTTACACCTTATTTCTTCAGTCAAGGTCTCTCACTGAATGTAGAGCTCATGGGTTCAGATAGGCTGGCCGGCCAGTGAACTACCTCCCCTGAGCCAGTGTTACAGATTACATCACAGGATTCCATCACGCCTGACTTTTGTGTGTGCTGGGATCTGAACTCAGGTCCTCATGCTTGAGCGGCGATCACTTTACCCACCGAACCATCTTCTCAGCCCCTACCGTGTGACTCTTTTTCCTGTCTATCCTCAGAGTCCTCCTTTCATAGAAGTTCTAGTTTTGTCCCTGATAGATGGAGTAGTGAGCAGAGTGAATCAGCTGTATTTGCCTTTGAGTTTTCTCTAATGCCTAGGCCCTGAGAAAGGTCAGGCTTCCAGGACGGGGGACAGTGTGTAGCATACATGCTTTTAGCTACTAAAATACAGGGAAGGTGCCCACAATTCACTGCATGTTTACTATATTTCAGCTACAAAATCTATGTAGTCCTCTCCCAATCTATGGAATGCTGAGGAGAAGGAAGCTAATTCTTTGCATCCCTTCCTTAACTGCAGAGACCTTTGGTCCTCAAACGAGTCTAACCTTCTGCCAAAGCTAGCGTTGCAGCCGGTAGTCCTCTGAGCAAAACAGCTGCCATCTTTTTTAGCTCAGGGGAGCCTGCTTGTAAGAGTCATTCATAACTGGGCCTGAGGAGTGTTGACACTCCCTCAGAGAAGGAGGGGACTGGACTTTCACTTAAGGGCTCTGCCACTGGCATGCAATTCTTCTCTAACTGCACATGGCCTAGGGGCCTCTGAGCAAACACAGGGGAGGGGGTAAGTAACTGTGGTGGTTTGAATAGGAATGGCCCCCAAAGGCTCGTATATTTGAATACTTGGTCATTAGGGAGTGGGTACTACTTGACAGGGACTAGGAAGTGTGGCCTTGTTGGAGGAAATGTCATCAGGGGTGGGCTTTGGGGTTTCAAACGCTCCATTTAGGACCACTGTCTTGTCTTCCTGCTGCCTGTGGATCCTGATCTGGAGGCAGAACTCTCAGCTTCTGCAGAATCTTGTCTGCCTGCATCTGCCATGATGACAATGGACTACACCTCTGAAACTGTAAGCAAGTCCCAACTAAATGCTATCTTTTATAAAAGTTGTTGTGGTCGTGGTGTCTCTTCACAGCAATAAAACCTTGACTAAGATAGTAACCAAAGGGGATTCATCTATGCAGCTATGGGGTCCATCTATGCAGCTATGGGGTCCATCTTTGCAGCTATGGCAAAGCCGCCATGCAGCACTCCAATGCTGCTGTGCTGGATCACCTACCCTCCTGCAGGAAATCCCTTGCCCATGCTCTGTTAGAAAGCCCAACAAACTCTTGTGTTTCCCAGGGCAAACTTCGCCAAAGTAATCCTATGAGGACAATTTAGACGTTATCGACACCTCCCTGGGGGAGGAGTCAACTTTGGGATTCTGAGCCACCAGTGTGCCTCTGAGTGGCTCCAGGAGTTCCTGTGACACAGCTGATCCCTGCTGGGGGCACACTCACCCTGTCACTCCATTCTGTAAGGAACCAGCTCTTGGCGCAGGGCCCCACGTCACAGTTCTCGATGTCATTCGGTCGGAGCTTCATGTTGCACTCCTCGTCATCCACCACATCCCCGATGTTGCTCACGCACTTCACGTCGCGGGTCCGCTGCCCCACGCCGCAGGGCACCGAGCACTAAAACACAGCAGGCTTTCCTCATTCTTTGTCACCTGACCCCGTTGCTGCGTCCCCTGCCAAGCCTGTAGTTCCCCGGGGAGACAATGATCATGGGAAAACTCCTCGGAGAAACTTTTGGGTGCCATCTTGTTTACTGGCCTGCTCAGGGCCCAGCCTTTCTTTCCATCTCCAGGAAGGATGCACAACACTAGAAGGTGCTGGCTCTATTAGTGGTTGCCAGCCTTCTCTTCATACGTGGGAGACACAGGGCGGGGGAAGTACAAGTCTCATATGGACTCACTCGCGAGACTGGGTATAGGCCATGTACACCAGTCTGAGCGCTGCTGAGCTGCTGGCACGAAATGTGTCGGCAATCAGACTTTCCAGCAAACATTCCCCACCCTATCCATCACGGGTCCCAACAGGAGAGGCCGGAGAGTGGTAGTGGGTATCGGAGGGGGAGGGAGGTCCCATACCGAGGTCCAGTCGGTCCGAATCTGCCACTCACTACAGATCTTGAGCTGGCAGGTGCTGGTGGTCTCAGGCTTCTCCAGGTGCTGGCAGCGGTAGGGCTGCACTGTCAGGCTGCGGTTGGCATACACCTGGCGGCACAGAACCTGGCGGTGTTGCATGCCCAGGCCGCAGGTTTTGCTACACTCGGACCACTCCCCGATGTCCCAGCTGGCTCATGGGATGGATTGGGGGGAGGGAAAGGGGGGAGAAGAAGATTGGTTAACAGGAATACAGAGCAAAAATCACCGGGGCCATTCCCCAGAGCAGTGTCTAAAGGTTATGTGACTGTAAGTGTAAGGTCATATAAGCCTGTAAGACACACTATTTACTGTGACTAGATCACCCAGATTCTGTACACAGTTAAAGAAAGAGTGAGAAGGTACAGACGATTTCTATTTGGTGATCAAAGCAGAATCCCCCAACGACTCCCAGATTGGTTTAATTTCCCTATAACACTAACCCTCCTGGGAGCTAAGAGATGTCACCGAGGCATTCTCTGACACCCACTATTTCCACGTCCTAATCTTCAATCTTCTTCTTTTTTTTTTTAAGACAGGGTTTCTCTGTATCAGCCCTAGCTGTCCTGGAACTAGCTCTGTAGATCAGGCCGGCCTTGAACTCACAGAGATCCACCTGCCTCTGTCTTACCAGTGCTGGGATTAAGCACCACAGCCAGCTTCCATGCCCTAATCTTGACAGTTACTGAATGGGACACAATCAAGTGTTCAGCATATATCTGGATAAAAATTATATTTTTCTTTACTCCAAGGATCAAGCTTTGACTTTTTGGGACCTGTCCCAATCCATCTGAGATGGTCTCATTTATCACTCAATAGCCTGTCCCGGCACGCTTCCTGACTCTTCCAGGCAGATCTGGCCTCATCTGTCTGTATATGCAGCTCACTTACGAGGTGTCTCACTGGGTTCTCATTCCTATGGCCTCCCTTGTTTTCCTGATGGGATTCCTGGCTAAGCCTGATGCCTGCTTCAGACCACCAACTCCCCAGTTCTTCCAGAAACACGGGCAGGCCCACTAAGTGGTCTGGATGCTGGACACAGTTCCTTACACAGGTTAAAAACACAACTGTATCTGCTACTGAGATTTTATGCCTATCAACCTGAAGTGACCCGAGGAAAGGTGACCTAGCCAGAGAGGGCTCTTACAAGGCTGGGCAGGGGAAGAGGTTGCAGGGTTCCTCCTCCGGGGTTGGCTTCATACTGGAGTCACAGTAACTCTCGGGAACCTCCTCATGCGTGTTCCTGTGCACACAGCGGAAGATTGGGTACTGTGATCCTGTAATGAGAAGGAAGATGCTGAAGGCCAGCAAACACCCTGGGATGCTAGCCCATGGTGAAGATGCACAGGCATTTGGATGCTGATGAAGGGAGGATACAAGACTAGAGAGTTCAAGTCCCATATCCCTTCATCTTGTTTGTTGATATAGGCATGCCCACAAGGCTCTGCTCGGGGCTGTTGAGTGTGCAAAGGACACACATACACACACACACACACACACACACACACACACACACACGGGGGGGGGATTTTTCATCCCCAAGGAGTTTACAATCTATTTATAAAAGGAAGCTAAAAAATGTTTATAGTTGTTCAAGATTATATGAGATGTGTTTGGGAAAATGGCTCAGTCAATTAAGCCCTTGTACAAGGACCCACCTTAGATTCCCAGTGCCTATCAGAAAGCCAGACATAGAGGTACATGCTTAAAATCCTAGTGTTGGGGAGGTGGAGACAGGGGGATTGGTGGAGTTGGATGACCAGCCACCTAGCCTAATTAGTGAGCCCCAGGTCCCAACAAGAAGTCTTCTATCAAAAACAAGGTGGATGGCCTTCCTGAAGGATGACAGCCAAGGTTGTCCTCTGATACCCACACACACATGCACTCATAGGCACCTGGTTACCCCTGAACTCACGTACATGCGCATATATACGCAAGAACATACATGTATGTATACACACATGCACCCACAGAGACAGTAAAAGAGCTCAACATAAAATGGGCACAGACAGAAACTTTCCCAAGGTTCTCCACAGGCATCAGATGGCAAATGCTGCAGAGGGTCTAGCTGTGAATAGAGACGGCCAGGCCTGGGTGTGTCTGTGCGCATGTGCAAGGGAAGGGGGCTGTCCCCAGGACTGGTGTGGAATGACCTTGCCTGCCGGCTAGGAGCATAAGCATCCAAGAGGTTGAAGCAGAGGAGATGCGAGCATTACAGAAGAGAAACTGCTTTCCTGCTTGGAAACACATTTCATAGGATCCTGTGAAGGGTCTTGTCCTTCTCAGCATCTGCCAACTTCCCATGAGGCCCTGCTTCTCAGCGCAGTCCCAGTTCACCTCAGTAACCCCAGTACCTAACAGAGACCTAAGCTTTTAGTACTTTTTTTTGGAAAACTAGTAACTGCTTTATGTTTTTGTTTTGAATACATAGAGTAGTTTCATTACTTTAATAAGGACTGACTGTTTTCTATAAAAAGCCAGTTATTGTCAATTTCTGTGTCTTAATTCAATTTTGTCTTTTTTCTGCCACCTGCTGGCCGAATTTGAGTATTGCTGGTGTCATTATGAAGTGGGAGTAACTGTTGGCCTTACAAACTAGGCTAACATACAACGCTAATCATTTACAAACTAGGCTAGCATACAACTCTAATTCATTTAAAAACTATGCCTATTTGTGCTTCTAACTGGTCAGATATTTTTAAAGAACTGTAACACTATAATTTTAATTGCACCATGAAGGCTAACTTTTTTCTTTTATAGGGTCTTTTAAAACAACTTATTTTAATTTGTTCTTTGACAATTTTATATGCACACATAGAGCATTCTGACTACTCCCACTTTCACCCCTCCCACCCCTATTATCACCTGCTCCATACAGGGAATCCATGCCTGGTCCTCTAAATCCAGTTAAAAAGCCACGGCTAATAGGTGTTAGACTCCAGGACAGCTTCCTACTGTTCTCAGTGTCACCTCCAAAGCGACAGACCGTCAAGCTCCCCCCTAGATTCTTATGCTCATGCCCACAAGGAGAGGCCATTCTCAGAGAAGCGTCCCTTCGTAATGACTGACAGAGCATACACAGACACAGGGTTGTCCAAGGGACCGAGAGGAAGAGATGGCTGAATGCCCGGCCATAAGGTTTTAACGTAAGTTCCTCAATGTCATCAGTCATGGATGTGACCCAGGGCTCCTTCAAGCTGCCCTGTGTGACGCCCTGAGCCAGAGGGTAGTTTCTACGAGAAACATGGCAATTTGTAAGAGAGCTTTGAATCTGAGACAATGATTGTGGAAATTACTGTGGCAGTAAAGATGTACATATAGCTATAACTCAAGACCGCTATTCAAAATGTCCCAATTAAGCCCAAGTATCAGCTGAGTTCAAAGCAGCCGTGACTGTAAAATTAATAGCAAACAAAGCCTTTTTTGGTATTAAACGTTTTCCAGCAACATGTCTACATCCATTATATAGCATATATTTTATTTTAAAATTTTGATTAATCTTTATGTGTATGGGTATTTTGGCTGCATGTCTATCTACGCACCACATTTGTACAGTGGCCACAGAGGCCAGAAAACAGTGTCAGATCCCCTGGAACTGGAGCTGCTGACAGTTGTCAGCAGTCATGTGGGTGCTGGAAATTGAACCTGGAGTCCCAGAAAGAACAGTGTTCTTAACTGCCGAGCCATCTCTCCAGTCCTAGGAGATATTTTTTTAAAATTAAATTCAACCCACATTAAGCACATTGTGCTAAGTCACAAAGTTGAGTAAGACTCAGTCCACAGCCTGCACATTTGAAATCAGCTCTTAGGGGATTAAGTAAAGATTTTAACTTGTCTGTTCCTTTCCCTCCAGACTGTGCGGCTATAACTTTTCCACTTACAGCTCTGTGGATTGAAAAGCAAAGGTAAGGCACCCCAACTGCTTGGCACTCACAGAGGGGAAACCTAATACAGTTAGCCCAAACGATACAAGATACCATAGGAATGCTCTGTGCCTGGAAAGATGGATCTTGCTTGGGGTTGTCTGGCAGATGGCCACTGCTTGCCTCCCCTCCCATCTGACCGCTTTTACATGCATTGCCCATTGTCCACGGTCCAGCTCCGTGGAAAGGTACCAAATAAATGAAATCAGAGGCTCTTTGTCTCTCCGACGCTGAGAAAATGTCAGCTTTATAACTCTTGCTCCTGGTGACTGCAATGTTTCTTTCTTTGGGTTAACTTTAGTATCTGCAGAAAGGGATACCGTCACTTGGCATGTCATCTGGGGTCCTATTGTTCAAGACTGAGATGCAGTGATTCCTCTGATTGCTAACAATCAGGGGCAGGGTGGTGGGGCAGGGACTGGCTGGGTGGCAGGATGGACCCAAGATTGGTTGCCCTGGCCTGTGCACAGGCATAGTGACCAAAACAGAAGTATGATTTACTGGAAGAGGAAGCAGAACTTGGGGAGCAGTGTTGAGGTCTGTGAGACACACTAACTTGAGAGTTAGGCAAAGAACACATCAAAAAAATAATTGAGTTACTCCACAGACTTAGAAATACAAGAACTAACAGAGCCAAGCCAGGAGACAGGCAGAGGTCTGGGCATCGTGGCTGATGGCCACAGTGATCAAGGGCCACTCCTGGGTACCATCCTGAGAGAAGGAAGTTTTGTGTTGTAGGATGCTGCAGAAATGGTAGGTGGACACGTGAGAAGCCCAGGTGTGATCCGCTTCACCAGGGAGGATGGGGGCTCTGGGAGAGGGCTGTGAGGAGCAGATGATGCTCTCTCAAGGGCAGGGGCTTGGGTTTGGTAGCAGAGGAGGACACAGAGCCAGCACACTTGTCATTGGTGCTGAGAACTGAGTTTAGCTCCATGCTTTGTGCGTTGGCATAGAACTGCCATGGCCTGCATGTCTGCTGCATGTCTGCTGCCATTACTCTCGCGGGAGCACAGGGCTCCAGGCGTGTCCCTCCTGTGGCTCTGAAGCCAGAGAGATTCTGAAGAGGTGCCTTGAAGAAAAAGCTTAAGTGGAGAAGGATTTTCTCTTCTCCCACGTGGCAGTCAGCAGGAGCTGGTGAGCGTCTCCTTCGCTCCCTTCAGTCCGCATCTCTGGCCTTCTGCTACTCTGTCACAACCTAGCCGTCTACAAAGTTCCTGCTCAAGAGCCTCACAATCAAGTTCAAAATTTTCTTTTGTTTTATTTTAAATAAGTTTACAACTTTGTTCTCCGGCTGCATTCATAGCTGCCTTTGGTCACTTGTAGTCCCTGGCCACAGGAGGTTTCTCCATCCTGCCGAATGGCCACCTCGATGGGCCAGTAGCACCCACCCAGGGGACAGTGGCAGGGTTACATACCTTGCCTAACTACACGCACAAATCAATATTGCATAGTCCCAGGACAGGGTAGCAAAGAATCTCCTACACATGGCATTCTGGATTGCAAATCATACAGGGACAATTTTCATCTGAGCTATCTGGGCACCACACCAATTCCTAAGTGGCAGAAGAGTTGGAAAATAGTCCATTTGGATCTCAGGTTCCTCTGTCAATGCGGAGACGCCATGCTTATCTCTATAATGCCTTGGATAAAATCTTATTAAAATGATTTTGGCCTTTTGGCAGAATTATCTCTAGCTCTCTGACTCTGTTAGGACACAGTCTACAGGCATCTCGTTTCCCCCTCACAAACCTGAAACAGAAGCCAGCTCAGTCCGTCTTCAGGCTGCACTCTCTGCTCACGTGGTCTCTGCTCACATGGTCTCTGCTCACGTGGTCTCTGCTCACGTGGTCTGAGCACAACACAGCGTGTGCACGAGCTCACGCATTAATTCTCCAGTTAGCAGGCGGAATCACCGTGAAACCATCAAGGCTTTGAGCATAAAGAACTCCTGCCCCATTCTACCGCCTGTGCACCCACAAGGAACCAAAGACCTAAATCCTAGTCCCTAAAACCACTAGGCCAGTGCTCCTATGAGAACGACAGAAGCAGCTGTCGGAGCGTTCCGTTTTTGTTTGTGTGTATATATGTGTTTGTGTAGCTTTATGTGTGCACGTGTGCTAATTATCAAACTTGCAAAGCTCAGACCCTCAGCTCCAAAACTCTGTATATATGTGTGTATGTATTCACACGTATGAATATCAGGGGACAACTGGGCTACTGGTTCTTATTTTCTACCTTGTTTCAGACAGGTTTCCTTTGTTGTTTTCTGCCGTGTAGGCCAGGCTAGCTAGTTTGGGAGTCTCTGGAACTTTTTGTGTTTATTTTTTGAGACAAAGTTTCTCTGTAGCTTTGGAGCCTGTCCTGGAACTAGCTAGCTCTGACGGACCAGGTTGGCCTTGAACTCACAGAGATCCTCCTGCCTCTGCCTCCCATCTCTCTGAGGGGTGCTGTGAGATGGATTATGCTCATGCTACACGTCCAACTTTACTTGGCTTCTAGGATTTGAACTCAGGTCTTCATGTGGAACCATCTTCCCAGCCCAGATTCAAGTCTCTTGAGAGAAAACAACAACAACAACAAACTATTCGCCAAACTAATGTCTGGGGTGAATCACACAGTCTTCCAGGTTTTAGAAAACTCTGGGGGTGGGGGAAGGTGGGACACAAAGTTTTTGTTTCTGTAGTATCGTCCCCTCAAGAAAACAACTATTTCAGGGTGACAACAGAGGAAGATGTCCTCATCCTGTATAGGGAGAAGACTATAATTATGTAGTACACAGGTTTTCCCATTGAAGAGACAAAACCAACTTCATTTTGTGTTAGGCCCCAAGGTGGATATCAGTGAAGTGGGAAGTCCCCTAGACTGGAGCCAATCAGAGAGTCACCCGTACCCCTTATGCCCATAACTAGATTTGTGATTTTTTTTTTTTTGCCTTTATAAACTCTGCCTAAGAATGGTGGGGCACCTCCCATGGTCCCTGCTGCATTGGTGTGTGAGATGAGGTCCTTACTGCAGTTTGTACTGCATGATTAAACCTTGGTTTTGCATTTTGGTGAGTCTGTGTCACTGGCGGTCTTCTTGGGGTCTCCGTGACCTGGGCACAGCACTATAACTGTGTAGTACATGTGTGTTTCCTGCAAGGAGGACCTCAGGGCTCCTCGAAAGAGTCAGAGTCAATTTCCAGTCCCAGGAGCCTGACAGTCACACAGGGATTTCCAGACATCACTTTTCCCACCTATCCGGACTGGAGTCGTTGAGGGAAGGACCCTGGATCTGTGTTACAGTCTAGATGTGATGTGGACCCCTTCACTCTTCGTATAAAACTACAGCTGTGTTCTGCTCTGAGCCTATTCGCTGAAGCCCCACCTTCTCCTCAGCCCTATAGTCCTATCTCCCTTTCGCTTGGAGAGAGGCTACATGCTTCTTGCGGCATGTGGGCTCCCTTCTTACAACAGGTAATACACATGGCATTGTTAGGTTAGGGGTTTTTCTTGGTGGTCCTAGTAGACTGGGTTAGGACACTGAATGAAACTGGAATTCAATTTTTTATCAGGAGAATACGAAAGGAGTAGATGAAGATGAAAGCTGATGAGCGAAACCTAAGAACCCCAAATATGTTGTTTCCCCCTGAAATCTTTAGATTTGAGGATGGCCCTCACATCAGCCACCTATAAACTTGATTTATCAACTTTCAGACTCCAAAGTATATGGGTATGTTCTCTGATTGTGGTTCCTAGCACAGGGACCGCTCAGCTCAGCAGGCCCAAGTTGCTCAAATGCTGTGAATTTTGTTGTTGTTGTTTTTACTGCCTATCTTCGTTGATTAGCTTCCGGGACACAACCTCGGAGCATGGCAACACTCTGCCGGAAGGGACACTAGCCTTCCCCCACACACCCCACCATTTCCTCTACCTTGCTGAAAACCTTTAGATTGCATTCCGAAAGCTAGCCCCCAAGGTCTGTTCCTTATTTGGCTACTTCTTTCTCCCGAGACTGACTACCAAAGTCCAATTATCAGAGTATTAAAGTCCAGCAATCTTAGCCCCCTTTGGTTCACCTAATTAACATGCCCAATTAAAATATACCACTGCATCCCAGCCCATTCTAACACACATCTTCCCTTTTTCTTTTCTTAAAAATCATGCCTGCAAGGTCTTTGCTGCTATTTCTCTGCCTGAGTCAGAAAGCAGCCACGTTAACTTCTCTTCCCCGCTTAATAAAGGATCCCTCTGTGAAAACAGGTGTTTGGGTGTGGTTTGTGCCTAATCTGGGGTCCAGGAGGAAGCCCCCCGCGGAGCGGGGGAGGGTCTCCTTTATTGCCTGTGCGTTTTCTATGCATCTTAACCATGAAGGCCCTGGTGTGACGGTGAATGTCTGTTTCTGTGTGCTCGATGCCCTGGTCTACTGGATCAGTGAGGTCTCTGGGGTGCTAGAGTGAGGCCTACGGAATGCTTGGAAGCACCTGCGCACCAAAGTGTGGGCAAACATCTCCAGAAGGCAGTATTCCACACCAACTGTCACTTGTCATTGCTGGGGGATTCTGGTGGCTCTGCCGGAAGGGGTCACCTGGAGTCTGGTTTCTCCTGGAGTTGGACCACGTGCCTACTTACTTAAATCTGTGTTCCTTCCCCAACAGGGGTGTGAGCACAGATTTCCTGAATCTGGATGGGCCCGCAGCTCATCTTGGGAACCTCTAACACAGTAAGCAGATGGACAAGTCATCTCTCAGGTGGTTTATGTGCTGAGGGGCTCCCCCATTGGCTGGGCCCTCCCTTACCTTCCTAACGGGTTTTCCACCCAGGCTTACCTTTCCCACAGGTGGCGGAACATTCTGTTGTCCCCAGCTGCTTCCAGTTGTGGTCCCGGCTTCTCCTGGGGGGCTGTGGTGCTGGTGGCACCAAGTTGTCTGGGCGGTGGGCAGGGAATCTGTCAGGATGCCTGATTGGGAAGGTCTGTGTGTGCGAGGATGCCGAAGTCAGTACCTCAGGGGCCTCGGCACGTGAGTCTTCCTTCTCCTGGTTCTTGTCCCGGTCGTCTCTGTCCTCCAGGCGTCTGTCTTCTGCTTCCAACTGCCCATTGAACGGTTCTCCTGGGAGAGGCAGATAGCACAGGGGTGAGCTTCCTTTGGACACTGAGTTGAAAAGGCGAGGGAATGATGGAGAGGGCCACTTCAGACAGATGTCTGAAAACCCGGGCAGGGCCTGAGGCTTTGTATTTTCCGAGCACCAAGGACCCTGACATGCACCACACAGTGTCTTTGGAGCAGACCATATCTGGGGTGAGATTGGGGGTCGGCTTTCAATCTCATCCTTTCAATTTCTCCTCCTACGAGTGCCTCAGTGGAGTGAGGGCAGAGAGACGGTGGGGGTGTCCAGGTGGTACCTTAGCCTGTCCTAGATCCCGGGCCTTTCCTTATGCTTGCTGCATTGTATGTGCACACATGTGTTAGCCTTTCTGGCTGGGATTAGTTGACTAATTGAATACAATGATATTTGATATGTGGGTAAATGCTCAAATTATCTGCAGATAGACTGTATTTGAACAGAAAAGGGCAGGGCAGAATTTATTGCACTGTTAAGAGAGAGTCCTCTGGGAGGAAAACAGAGTTGAAGGCTGATGCTTTTCCTTGTTTTGCTTTAATTTGTTATTATTTTTTATCTTTGTGTATGTATGTGTACATATGTATACATGTGCTTACATGTATGTAAATGCACAAGGGTTGGAGTGCATGTGTACATGCATATGGAGGCCTGAGGTTAAAATCAAGAGTCTTCCTTGATTGCTCTCTGCCGTATTCATGGCAAGGTCTCTCACCCAGCGCTCACTGTTGGAATCAATAGAGCCAGTCTGTCTGCTCTGGGGATTCTGTCCCAGTCTTCTGAGTGCTGGGACTGCAGGTGGGTTGCCATGACCACCTGGCAATTAAGTTGGTTCTGGAGATCTGAACTCTGGTCCTTCCCTTGCTGGGTTTAAGCCCTGATGCTCTTTTTAGAACAGTGTTAGGTGGGCAGGAGGCATGGAGTACCAAGGCCTGAGGTAGTCTCACGGGTCCTCATATGTTGCAAAAGGAGCGGAATGATGTAGGTGGGTCTTCTTTCTATGTGTTGCTTTCATTGGTTAATTAATAAAGAAACTGCTTGGCCTGATAGGTCAGAAGATAGGTGGGTGGAATAGACAGAACAGAATGCTGGGAGAAAGAAAGCAGAGTCAGGCAGATGCCATGAAGTTCCGGCCCGAGATGGACTCTGGTTAAACTCATGCCAGTAAGCCACAGTCAAGTGGCGATACAGATTATTAGAAATGGGTTAATTAAGATGTGAGAGTTAGCCAAGAAGAGGCTAGATATAATGGGCCAGGCAGTGTTTAAATGAATCCAGTTTTCGTGTATTTATTTCGGGTGTAAACTAGCCAGGGAGCTGGGATCCCAGCGGGAATGCAGCCCGCCACTCCTTTTGCAACACTTATACAGGACAGAGACGGGTGCCTGAGAACCAGAGGAGATGGAACAGTGGACAAGTCCAATGGGAGTGTGGTGTGGGAGAATTGTCTGTATTCTGTCAATCATATTTTAATAAAACGCTGATTGGCCAGGCAGGCAGTATAGGCAGGAAAGCCAGACAGGAAGTAGGGGTGGAGCAAAGAGACTGGGGGTATTCTGGAAGCAGAAGCTCCCTCCGCCACTCCTGTGCAGACCACCGAAGAGGCAGCATGTAACTTGCCCAGCTGAGAAAGGTACGGAGCCATGTGCTAACATAGATAAGGATAATGGGGTAACATAAGTTATAAGAGCTAATAAGTAGCCAGAGCTGAGGGTCAATCAGTTTATAACCTTATAGAGATCTGTGTGGTTGATTTTCTTCGGGAATTGCCGGCTGTGGGTACCGGGTGGGACAGAAACCCCAACAAGCCGGCCCTCATGTTGAAGGGGGTACTGTGTTGACTTTAGAGGTGGAGCAAGGGGTCACAGGCCACAGAGGCTGAGGCTTCTAGAAGCTGAGACAGGAGACCTCTGGCCTTCAGCACTGTAAGACAAGTACCTGTATCTTATTCTAAGATCCTGGCTAGAAGGTCACTGCTCCAGCAGCAAGAGCAGCCAATGTGATCATCCCAGACGTGGGATCGGGATGTCGGACTCTGGCTTAGGATCCAGTGAAAGAAATATCCTATTGGGGAGACACACATGTGAAGCATGTTCTGATCCCAAGTCCACTAACCTGAAACATGTGTCCATGGGGTTTCTCTGCATTGTTCAGGACACAGAGGATAAAGGCATGTGTGTGTGTGTGTGTTTGAGAGAGAGAGAGAGAGAGAGAGAGAGAGAGAGAGAGTGAGTGTTAAGAGAAAGTGACTCAGAATACTTGACAGCGAACAAGGATTTTACCTGGTCTTCTGTGGGCTGGCACCTGTGGGCTGATGGCATTGTTCCCCATGATCACGTACTCGTAGTGGACTCCTGGGTTGGGCTGCTGGTGAATCATCTGAGGACACAGAATCAAAGTCACCACAGCCCCCACACACCCCAATTTCCTGCTCGCTTGGTCTCAGTAACGGAAGTGGTACCACAGTTAATGTGCAGGCTCTTATCTAGTTACAGTAGTAACCCCGTGGCACGTTAGGTTAAGTCACTTCCAGTGGCCTCCTGGGGGCTGCTTTTGAAGAATCCAAGACTTCGTGTGTTCATGAATCAGAAGAAAAGTGGGTGAATGGCCAAGATTTTATCAAGATAAAAGTTAAGGTTTTATAAAGCCCCAATAGGGCAGGGTCTACAGTAGGAGAATCTGTGGCTGGTAGCCATCCTCAACCAGGGCTTGGATCTGTGGCCTCTAAATGTTCCAAGATGTCTACACTGCAGAGGAACCCGATTGAGCGCTAGGTGGTGACACAGAGTCTGGCAGACGAAGACCAGCTTTCCTGGGCAGAGCAGCCTAGAACATCAAGGGCCCTTTAATGTCCCCTGGGCCAGGGAGGCTGGCTGGCTCAATGTCTGCCCCAGTCCTCAGTCTTCTCTCACTGAGTCTCAGCTCACTTTCACACATAGGAAACCCCAGAACTATAATGAAATGGAACGGAAATTCAAAACCCAAACCAAACAAGCAAGCAAGCAAACAAACATCAATAACAACAAAAACCCAAACAAACAAAAACAAAAACCAAACAAATAAAAAAGCAAAACACACACACACACACACACACACACACACACACACACACACAAAAAAACCCCACATATAAAAAAATGTAAGTCTGCCTCAGTCATATTCTTTGAGGAAACATTGATAAAAAGAAGCAAACAATAAAAAATAAAAGTAAGCAGGAAGCTGCGTGGGCTGCAGAGATCTGAAGCAGAGGCACGAGGAAAGCCAACAGAATTAGTCCTATCTACCAGGCCTTCCTGTGCCCACAGCTGTTATGGTAGAGGGCAGGGTGATGGGTAGATTGGAGCAACAGTACTACAATCTACACTAGAATTGGGAGCCAAGCAAAGGGACACTGTCTTGTTGCTATTTCTACTTTGTAAAGTAGCTCTTGGTGGCTTTGTAAAGTGTGCAGCCCAGAGCCAGTTGCCAGACTCCTACTTTTAATTTCTTCATCGGGAAGAGGGAAAAGACTAATGACTGATCTTGAAGTCTGTTACCCTGCAAGTAGCCCTGAGTCCCGCCTGCACTGGAGCCCTGTAGATCTCTCTCCTGCTACCACCTTGCCTTCTCCCGACTAGGGAACAGGCTCCCTCCATCACTCACCCAAAGGAAGGCAGATATGAGAGGCACTCGGCTCCTCAGACAAGCCAAAACCAGCTCATTGGCGATGCAGAAACATGGCACTGAGCACTGGACCCCTAAGGGACGCAGCTATGTGACTGCCCGTCCTTGCTGTCTACCCCAACCCCTTCGATCCCCTTAGCACATACTGTTTCTCCTTCTGCCCTCTCCCCTGCCTCTTCTGTGTGAGGAAACACTCTGGATTTGGCCACTGAAGTCCTTATGCCGTTTATGGGGTTATTGTTGGCCACCTTTCCCCGACCACCCACAGGAGGCTTCACTGGCAGAACCTTCACCTCTGATACCGTTCAAATTTACCCAGAGCCAACCAACCAAGTGGATGGCTCACAAACCCCCCAAGTTAACTAAAACAAGGCATCTTTTGTAACGGTTAGCCTTCTATCCCTGGAGAGGCACAGCCCAGAACTGCGGAGACGAAGAAGCAATTGCAGTGGTTACTGTTTCTAAAAGCCTGACACGGCAAATGGTAGAGACCAGCACGGCCCTGGGACAGTAGGCATCGGGGTATTTATTTTAAGCTTTTGTTTCTTGTCACCGTTAAGTTCCTCATCTTTTCAGAAGACAGGATTCTAGTGGCTTCCTGTGTGTGTACTCACATGTGTATGTATGCGTGTGGAGATCAAAGGTCAATCTTGACCTTTGGGTGTCACGACTCAGGAGCTGCTTGAGACAGGGTCTCTACTGGGACCTGGGGCTCACCTACTAGGCGAGGCTGACTGGCCAGCTAGTCCCATTGATCTTTCTGTTTCTGCCTCCACAGTTCTGGGATGACAGGCATGTGTCACCACAGTCATCTTTTATATGGGTGCTGAGGCTGGAACTCAGTTTCTCATGCTTGTAAGACAGGAACTTTATAGACAAAGGGAGCTCCACAGGCCCTTCTAGTAGTTTCTTTTAAAAAGACCATTAGAAACAATGCTTGGGCGATTTAATATTAACACTCTAGCTTCAAGTGATCACAGGCTATCTTTGTGAAGCAGGACACTGCGGTGCAGCTGCAGCCCCGTGTGTGTGGAGCGGGGCCCTGTGGTGCAGCCGCAGCCCCGTGTGTGTGGAGCGGGGGCCCTGTGGTGCAGCCGCAGCCCCGTGTGTGTGAAGTGGGGCCCTGTGGTGCAGCCGCAGCCCTGGCTGTGTGAAGCCGGGTACTGTAGTGCAGCTGAAGCTTCACCGTTTCATCCAGGGTCACAGGGAGTGGTCCTTCTCCATTTGCCTTGATGGGGTTGAGAAGGCTGGGCCTGGAGTGGGTCGCTTTGCCCTTGGCATTTTCTTTCTCTTGCCATAAAAGAAAACACGCCAAATTAGCGCCGAGAGGAAAGAGCCTGGAGGAGCTCCAGGGCTCGTGAAACTGGCATTTGTTTGCCTCTGATTTGGTTCAACAGTCAAATTGGTTTTACTGGGTCCATAAACTCCGAGGGTAATGAAGCACCTGGTAGACTTTACGGTTTCTGTGAGTCTTGTACATCGGGGTAAATGTCAGAGACCAACGCCAAGGACTGAAAGGGGTCCCTCAAAGAGGCCTCACTCAAAAGATTTTATCCAGCCCTGGCAAAGACGTGTTGTTTATTTGCTCAGTGTGTTTCTTGGAAGCCATAGGATCCAAGAGGGCACCCACAAAACACGCAAACTCACATAGACATCCAGGATCTCATTGGTGGGACCTTCAGCCAAAAAGGACTCCCCGGCAGTGCTGGAGATCTCATTGGGTCGCTTGTAGGTGAACATCGTCCCTCCGCCCTCATACTTCCCCGGGCGATCGATTGCCCAGTTCCCGTTGATGATAGAGCGACCGGAGCGACTTCGCAAGGCTGTGGAGACAATCAGACAGTTTCTCTGGTAAGCTCAGGGTGTGCCCAAGAAAGCAATCTGAGCACCTAAGTCACTCATCTAATGGCCGGAGGCATGCATAGTGTTTGTGAGCATCATCTCAGGCTTGATCATGACCTCAGCTCAACCATTTCCTTCCATGTGGACCTGGACCAAAACGAAGGATGGGTGGGAGTGGCTGGGAGAAAAGGCTGGGAACAGAGGGCAGAGAACACAGGGGAGAATTAGGCACAAGGGAGGGAGACTACCTTATGTAGATGTGTCATTCCTGATGTGAGGGGCCGTACACTCCAGCCCACACGCTGATTTTGGCCCATGGATGGGCTTGGTTTGGCTTTTGTAGTGTTTTTTTCTTTTTATTTGTTTTGGTTGAATATAATGAAGCCTAAATTTAAGAACTGGGAGATTTCACTTTAAAAAAATGAGAGTTCTGGCTTTTCTTGTGGAACAGGAAGGCATGTTAACACTGGCCCTGGATTCTCCCAGGGTGGAGGCAACAAGTGCTCAGAGGGACGCCTCGTTTTACAGGGGATTGCAAGCTCTGATCAGTCTGTGTCCCTGCTCATTGTTCATCATTCCTCAACAGTAGGACCTTTTTTGTTTTTAAGTAAATCTCAATGGGTCGATTTTCTAATAAAGACTCAGGAGTCAGATGCTGGGGTGAAAACCTGCTAGCTTAGAGAGGCAGAGAAAGCACTCCGTTGCTTCATCCTCCTCTGATGTCCCAGAAAGAGAGCTTTTTCCTATACCATCAAAACCAAAAACTTCTGCAACTAGATGTCCCTCCCTTCTACTTCCTGTGCGTCTCTCTATCCACCCTCCTGATTCCCTCTTACTCTCTATGATTTTTTTCCTGTCAGTTGGTAGTTTGCTCTGCCTCTTGACCTATGGTTGACTTTATTTAATCCTATTCACAACATTCCAGCAGAATTCTCTTGTATTAGAAGTGAGTGCTAGGACTGAGTCACACCGCATCAGGATTTTCACTAAATAACACAATCTTGGGGTTCACAGTGTGATCAATATCCTGCAACATTTCTCCCCTTTTCGGTGTAAATAGAAAGGGAAGATTTTTAACTCGAATACAGTAAGACTATTTACAACAATACAGGTACTTGTGCCAGGCTCCCCACAATGTCCAGCTTGGTTGTACTTTACTTGGCAGTCTTAGCGTGAAGCATTTTTGAGTTCAAAGTTCTGTAAAATGGTCATTCCAGTCTCATAAGAACTCAGCAATTTGAATGTCCTGAGCAGTTTGTAGTCCGAAGCTGATCTTTGGGTGGTATTTGTTAGCTCAGTGGCAATCCTGGCTAGGTAGAACACACCAAAGACACCCACTATTTGAGCAGAACACTGGGTGGTTGTCCAGCGGGAAGGGGCAGCTGCTCAGGCAAGATGGTAGAATGGGTGCTGGTATTAGTCTGGGGTTTCAGGCCAGTCAGCTGGAAGAGGTGGGAGATACCACTTGGCCAATTTGCTCTTTTTCTTGGGACATTTTCTCTTCATGATCTGTCCCATTTCTTCAGATGTCTCACTTGTACAGTGGTCTCTGGTTGGATGCTTTTATTTTCATGGAAAGATAAAAGCAAAACCCTGCCTCAACCCTAACTCTGGGGGGGAGTTCCTTTTTTGGCAGGTTATATCTTTCCTAGAGCAAAATGTTTTTTGGCAACAGAAAAAGTATAATCTTTCAATTAATTTTTTTTGAAAATTTGAAACTAAATATACATTGGTATATGTGGATAAATATACCTATTAATAGGTTTTTGTCCCCCAGTAATAGGTTTCTCTGCTGATACAGTAAGCCAGATCAAGATGAATTGAAACTATAGCAGCAGGGTTATTTGAGCAAAGCAACTCCCAGCCAGGTTCACCAGTCCCAGAGATCGAGGCTGGAGAAGTCACACACCCAAACTCAAGCAGGGAGATTACATAGGTTGTAGGCAAGGGTGATGATATGTTTGCCACAAGCTAGGTTTGTGCCCAAGTATGGTCAAAAGCTGAACACTTTGGGTGGGCTGGCAGCTCCAGGGAGGGAGCTTCACTAGCTGCCAAGCATGTGGAACCAGGTCTTTTGGTGCCTTTCCCTTGTTCAGAGACTCTCTGAGTGGGTGGGGTTTGGAGACAGAGACAGGTATGGGGCTTTCTGGATCAAGCAGGAGTGAGCTGGAGGCTCTGACCTTACACACACACACACACACACACACACACACACACACACAATTCTATTTATTTTTAGGTCATAAAAGGACATTTACTTTGACTTTTAGTCTGTCTTTTGTAAAGAGCTTCTAAAGTTAAATCGCTGTAATTCTTATGCGTCTGCCTCTGCCTCCCAAGTGTGTGCCACCACACATACTTATAGTGGTTATTCTTATAGGGTTATACTGGTTTAATTTGAATCTCCATTTCCCATTATTTTTAAGAGGTAGGGGTAAACTTTCAAGTATTTTGAATGTGTAATCTATCATTCTTGCTGATTTATTCTGAATCCATCTCCTGGCCAATTTTAATATTCTAGTCTTAATTAAACATGATACTAATTTACCTCCTATTTCATTATTTTCAGACATTTTGTCTGTCTTGCCTGGATGAGCTACATAAACTTTGATGTCTTTGCTAAGCTTCGCTGGGTCATGTCATTTCCATTCATGCCTCCCACGACAGGCCTCCTGGCCATTTATCTGCCTCTTTCTAGGGCAAAGGTACATTAACTTTACAGAAAACTAAATAAAATGGCATTCGGCTATCTCTTGACGAGTGACCCAGGTTTCTTTATGTGTGTGTCTTTATTTCAATCCCTAGGCCTTTGCCCCAAGCTCGTGATTGGTACAGAAGGCGCACAAACCGTGCCAGGAGAGGGTGACGCAGAACCGGATGGTTACAATAGTATTTGCCTTTCTCTTTGCAAGACAGCATTTTCCCTATAATTCTGACTGTATGCTTACCAACAGTGGCAAAGCCAAGAGGGCGACATGGTTTTCTGGTCTTCCTGATTATATCTATTCTTTTTTTATTCCCTTCCTGACTTCTCTGGGCTTTTTTCATGCTTATTTATGTGCTGTGTGTTTATATGTATGTATATGTGTGCATGTGTATGTGTGTGTATGAGTGCATGTGTGTGTAAGCCTGGAGTTTGATGTCAGGGGTCCTTAATCATTCTTAGTCTTATCCACTGAGGCAGGGTCTCTCAGCTAAATCTTGGATATGGCTAGCATGGCTGCCTTGTTCTGGGGCTCCCGTCTTCACCGAGAGCTTTTACTGCAGATGGGCTTCCATTCACACCCAGAATTTCCCTGAGTCCCGGAGAGCTGAACTCTGGTCTTCATGTTTGTATGGGAAGTGCCTTTAATGCTGGGCCACCTTCCCAGTCTCTGTGGCTTTTTGAGCCTGTGGGCTGTGTTGGAGACTTCTGTACCTGCTCTCAGATGCAATCCTCACCATGTTGCTAAGCAGCTCTTGTTAACCTCACTTTTCAGACACTGGTTGTTGTGGTTTGAATGTGAAGTGTCCGCCATAGACCAGTGTACTGAACACTTAGACTCTAGATGGTGGGACTGTTTGGGAAGGCCATGGAACCTTTAGGAGGTGGTGCCTTGCTGGAGGAAGTGAGTCACACTGGGTGGGCCTTGAGGGCTTCTAGTGGAGCCCTACTTCCTGTTTATCTTTGCTTCCTGATTACAGCTACAGTGTAACCTGCTGCTGGCTCACCCTGTCACCATGACAACCCTGCCACTGCCAGGCAAAAGAAAGTCTTTACTTCTTAAGGATCAGCACCCTTCCTCAGGGATATGAAATGACTTGTTTAAGTTTGTGAGGACTTGGGATGACAGTTAAGGTAGGAGAGAGGACTGGCAAGAAGGTGTCAGACTAATGGGAAGGTAGGACAGGGTTTTTTAGAAGCATTTGGCACCTTGAAACCTACATGACAATGGAGGATTAGGTTTAAAGATGTCCCCATTTGTATATATGCTACCAAACTGACTTCTGATATTTATGTTTAAACTCAAAGATTAGTGTTGCTCTCAGCCTTGGCTACAGAAACTGTTTCTGCAGTAGACAGCCATGCAGACTCAGAGTGGGTCAAAGGGCCAAGAACAAGTGACTGTTTAGTGTTCAGCCCTGAATGAGGCATTGGCATCAATCCCCCAAGGCTCAGGCAACATCCTTGGAGAGGAGGCAGAAAGAATATAAGAGCCAGTGGACAGGGAAGAGCGCTGAGAAATGCTCTCTTCTGGACATGGCTCGGCTGTGGCACTCAGATGCCCACTGCAGCTATGGTTGCCTAGACAACATCAAGCCAACATGGACAGCTAATATTCCAGCAGGCAGCGCTAACTGGTCTCAGTAGGTGACAGCAGTGACAGAGGCTGGCACGGAGGTGGGAGGGGACACATTGAGGACTGTCTAGAGAGAGATGCAGGGGGTACCGCAGAGGGCATCATCGAGATTCAGGATACATGTACGGGACTGTAAAGGATAAATAAAAAGGTATCCTAAAAAGACTAATATAGATGTTAAAAAAAAAGGACATCTCCGTTTTAAATGCCACAAACATAGCAGGGGTCTCTATCTCTTTGTGCCGTCACTTTACAGGACAAATCAATTTCACTTTTAAAACTCCATGATGGGAAACTTAGCTATAAACAGTTAGACAGGAACTGGCTAGCAACACCCCTCTAATGATCTATCACTCAGTTTCAATAAGGGTCACACTCATGGTCTATCTTACTGCATTCTGCAAGACCGAGATTCCATTTATTCTTAGCATAAAGATTCTTTTGTTCTTAAAACTATTTTTGGCAGTGTTTCTGTAGCTGGCTTTCCCAGAGACTAAGCCTTCATAGCTGGAAGCTTCATGAAGGAACAGAAGAGTCACCATACTTAGGCACCCCCACACCCCTACACTCAAACCTGACCCGAATACCAGGGCAGAAACTGAGGGAAAGTATCCTGAGCATCTTAGACATTTATTCATAGA